AGTTCATGTTGATAATATTTTAGATTATTACAATAAATGAATGACAGGAATTAGAATTTGATACAGTTTACATTTTGTAGCAAATAAAAATACGTAATCTAATTAAACCTTCAAACACACACCATTTTCTCGTAATATGACAGTTGTCTATTACGCATATATGATTCAATCAACAGAGAAGACTTGAGATATGACAGGAAGAAGAGTCAAAACTAGATTGACTTACTAATTATTTTTATTTAACATTAATTCGGTTCTAATTCAATATGATGATTATTCAGCGTAGTATTTGTTTTCTTTTCTCGTATGATATTTTATTCTGTATAATACACAATATTCTTGTATCTAGTTGACCTGAACTATGGTCACCAAGACATTTACCACATGCTTTGTTATAACTGTATTTTTTCATATATGTGATTTCATCCCAATTATTAATCAATATAGATGTATGAATCAATATGTTGGGGTGATCCAGAAAATTTCTCGCAAAGGACAAGCAAGGATCAGGAAACACTAAGAAGCATTTCATCCAATCAGCGTTCACTTGAAGTTTTAGCCAGGAACATCAAGGAATTGAAACGTCACATGTAGAGTTTCTGATTGGCTGATTGCTATACTGCTACTATGTTTAGTAGCATTCCAGAATCTTCGAGCAACCCATGGACATTTAAAATATTATAAAAACCCTATATTTTCTGTTTTAAAATGAACATTTGGAGTAAAGTCCTTTTCGCATACTTTGCGCTTTCTCTCTCGTGTTCAGGTCGCTGTATAGTTCTAGCTTGCGGGTTACAAGAATAGCTTAGGAACCGAGTATAGAGTTCAATTTGCAAGACTTATTAATGGCGGCGGGAAAAACTACAATGAATATTTCTTTGAAGCAACTAGAAGCTTATATGAAGCATCAAGAGATGTTTGAACAGTCCCAAATCAGAATCATGGAAGACCTGATGCAGAAATTGTGTTTGTCCCAGCAAAATCCTGCTTCTGGTGAATCACAAGTATCTCATACTGATTCAGTCATTAAAGCCATCCATGAATTTAATTTTGATGGTGTGTCAGGTGTAATTTTTGATTCTGGGTTTAAGAAGTATGAAAGTTTATTCTATATTGATCTTTGCGAACTTGATGACGCTTCAAAAGTCAGAGTACTTCTAGGAAGACTTGGGAAGATGGAACATGCACGCTATAGTAACTCCATTCTCCGAAGAACCCACGAGACTTTAGTTTTGATGAAACCATTAAAACCCTGTCTCAAATCTTTGGAGAACAATCATCTCTATTTAATATCCGTTATCAATGTTTGAAGATAACGAAAGAATCAGATGACTGGGTGAAACATGCAGGAATTGTGAACCGAGAATGTGAGAGGTTCAAATTGTCTTCCATGACTGAAGACCAGTTTAAATGTCTAGTATTTTTCTGTAGTCTGCATTCACCCGAGGATGCTGACATCCGAACAAGGATCCTAAGCAAACTGGAACACTGTCCCAACATGACCCTGCAAGAAGTAGCGACCGAATGTCAAAGGTTAGTGAATTTAAATCATGATACCTCGATGGTAGAGAACGGTGACCGGTTCCTTCATGTCCATGCAGTCGGAGAAAAGTCTCACAAGGTTCCAGCACGCAGAATGATCGTAATCACAGCGACAAACCATCATTCCCATGCTGGTTATGTGGCAGTTGGCACTTCAAAAGTTTTTGTCCGTTTAAAAATCATCGTTGTACTATGTGTTCCAGAAAAGGGCACAAAGAAAGTCATTGCAAAACCCGAAAACTCCGTCAACAGAAAGTGCATTCTAAAAGATTCAAGCCACAAACAGCTAAAGTAACAGTAGCTCTTCACCAAGCCGGCTCCCATCACCGTAGAAAGTATGTTTCTCTCAAAATTAATGGGTATGATGCCCGCTTACAATTAGACACAGCCCCCGATATAACGCTTATAAGCAGGAGAACGTGGGAGAAAATTGGAAGACTGAGAATATATCCAACTCGTCAATCAGCACATAGTGCATCTGGGGGAATTCTAAACATTGCTGGTGAAATTCATTGTGAAGTCACGGTCAAAGAGTTTACGGAGAAGGGCGTAATATTTCTGACAGACCGTCCATCACTCGACTTATTGGGGCTTGATTGGATAGAAAAGTTGAAGTTAACAGACCGCCCCATAGACTCGATCTGCAACAACATCAGTACGTCAAAAGTTGAGAAGGATACATTCAAAAGAGCACTACTTGAAGGGGAAGGAGAGGGGACAAGTCAGCCTAATTCTATTGTCGCAGAAGGAAAATCTCCTGCTGAAGTGATGTTAGAGAGAAGCATCCGAACTATATTCGACATCATGTTACCACCTAAACAAATGGATGAACACAGACAAAATCAGAATATCGTAGTTTTAATGTCGGTGATAAAGTGCTCGTCAAATCATACATTTGGAAAAATCGTTGGGAACCGGGAGTCATTGAGAAGAGAATGGGGAATGTTTTATGCAAAGTGCGTGGGACTTTCGGGATGCGGATTAGACACATTAATCAAATACACAGAGAGAAAAAGACTCTAGACACGGTAGATAGTCAATTGAGGCTTCCGCTAATTACAGATACTCCAATGACAGGAACCCCAACAGACACTCATAGACGCTGGATACCAAGAAAGTCCGAACGCCGCAGAAAACCAGTTATCAAGCTGCAAGTAGATCCGAAGAATAGGTCTTATTTTTTGAAAGGGGGGAGGTGTTGGGGTGATCCGGAAAATTTCTCGCAAAAGACACACAAGGATCAGGGAACACTAAAAAGCATTTCATCCAATCAGCGTTCACTTGAAGTTGGCAGGAACTGGTAGCCCAGATGTTCAAGCAGGCCGTCAAAGCTACTATGGTATTGATTTTAGCTAATTGAATGATTGAAAATCAATAAAGTTTATCATCGGAAATTCATAAATTGGTGGAATTGAAATATTGATAACAATAATGATTGCATCTACTAGTATATATATATATATATATATATATATATATATATAATATTCATATGATTTAACGTATTTTGTTTTATTTATGTAGACAGTGATCAAACAGAAAAATTTTCATCACTTAAATTATTCAAACCCTTAGTTATAGATAAATATTTGAAAATAATTTATACTGCGGTGTTCCTATTGAATATTAGTGAATTTATTTTTGTTTTTTTAAAAAGAAATAGGATATATTCGGTTTGTTTGTTTGTATCAGAAACGCTTGAGAGAGTATACTTCTTAAAAAATTTTTAACTAACAGGTTAATTTTAATAGTTGAGATCATGAGTCAAATGAAGCTAGATCACTAATGAATACCTGGAAGCACTGGACGGCCGTTTCGTCCTATTGTGGGACTGATCATTAAATATACATTATACTGATTACTTATCTGTTTGATACTATTGTGCTCAATTCTAAATAAAAATAAAATAAATGACAAGTATGTATATACCTTTTGGTTTTATATCTATTGTATACACTATACATCACTTCTTTAGACTATATTGTCACGTTAATCCTTTGTTAATAATATGAAAAATCAAGAACCTGAAATGTTTTGAAGTATAAGTCAATGTTATAAATGAACGGGTTAGATTTGTTACAAAGCCTTATAAAGGAAACGACCATGTACGTATGTTGAAATGACCAATATGTAATAATTCAATGAATTGAAATGTAGGTGAAATGGCGAAATTTCTAGTCAAAATTGGCATAAACAATATAAATTGAGATAAATAATACTATAATTATTGATGATCCCATATGTTCGATTGGAAACTACGCAATTCATAAATTCAGCATGAGACAGTAGAAAGAAAGTTAGTCGTTTGGTCATAGGTCCATTGAACTACATAAGTTGAAGTCGAAATGTATACACTTTTAATTATATCTATCAGCAACAATGAATTCATAGAATATCAATTTACTTCACAAGAGCAGTTGAATCAAGAAATATAAAGCTAGCAACTGAATTATGCAATTTAGTTGGTACACTGAAGTCCTTCAAGGTGATTAACAAACAATCAAACCCTAACCTTTTGAAATTTTCCGAAGCGATATCAATCAAATGTCTAAAACCAGAACTATGTACTCAGAAATAGGCAGTAATAAATCTTTCTTTGTCCTGGTAACATTAACCCTCTTTTTTATTTATTACGTCATTCACTATTCCAACTCTTTCTGAAGTTTAAATTAAATCATTGTCATTTTTCTTCAATTCATAACTGACTGATTTCAATTCATATATTTCTTTGTTACCATTAATCTATTGTCAGTTGCTTCATTACACAGTCATCTAATGTTTGTTAACTTCATGAGTTCTAATCACTATTTCAATATTCAGAAACTTTCCCTCTCAAACTTTATTTATCCGAAACAAACTTTTTATGACTTTATTGAATCTGTTGAAATCTTCGCTACATCATGATACATCTTTAATCACCCTCGTATGTATAAATATGTTAATATCTGTAATAACGTTGAATTTCAAATATTTTAGGTTGTAAGCAACTGATGTGAACTTAACGAAATAAAATGAATTTATATTATTCTGCACCAATCTTTATTCTTGTTCTGTTGAAGATAATAAACGGAACTATGTGGATGAAATATTTAATTTCAGTTTAACAATTCAAAAAACCACTGTACTTGTTTAATGAAGATTATATTACTAACATATAAACTTATGAAGTATGGAAAAACATCATGATGAACAGTTTCAATATCTTTCCTAATTAATCATACTTTAAATTATTACCGCGCGTTTTTTTAAAGAATACGCTACAGACTTTGATCATTAATAAAATAAGTCGTTGACTGATTTTTAAATGAAATAAATTAACTATTAGATCAGTTTCAGTACGAGAATTTTGCTATTTGAAAATTTGATCATACCATTTTATCATTTAAATGAGTAAAGGTTATTTATTGATGCCATAATTTCATTATAAAACATATTTGTAAGTATATATATATATATACGTTAGTGGTATTTTTACTCTACTCCTTTAAATATAATCAACTGATGTTGGTTACCATCTTATTTATATTTTGTATAATCTACAATTCTGATGCATTTAAAATTACAAAAGTTGAAGTAAATTTTAGAATTTTCTAAGAATTAATAATATTAAAAAAATTATGTATAATATTCATTCTTCTTTTTAATGAATGATTTATTAAATGTTAGTTTTGATAATTTATAAGGTAAATTGATCATTTCTGAGTATATTCCAATCATAATTATGGTTTTTGGGGGGTGCGTGGGAGTGTGGGTGGGAAACGTAAAGATTTCAAACATTTTGAAAATGTTTTTCATGTCTTTCTGAAATCACTGGACGGTTAAAATTAGACATTAACACCGTTGGATTCCAGCTCAGTGGTTTAGAGGTTAAGCGATCGCTCGCGAGACTGAAAGGTCCTGGTTTCGAATCTCCCTGGTGGGATCGTGGATGTGCACTGCTGAGGAGTCCCATACTGGGACGAAACGACCGTCCAATTCCATCATGTTTTCCATGGTGATCTAGCTTTAATTGACTCATGTATTCAACTATTAAAAAGGATTAGTAATTACTTAATTGTATATGGTTAATGATTATAGATGAACAAATGATTCATAGAACTTCAGAAACGGGAAAGATATTAATTTAAATTTTCTAAATGCTCATAGATATCTATGATGAAACAGTAATATATTAAGCTAAAAAAATAGTCTTTAGATATAAAATATAATGGCAGTATTACGAAATAGACTAATTCTAAAGATTGTATTGGTACATGAACCATTTAAACAAATCTCATTATTTCTCACAACACAGTTTGCTAATATAATGGTTACATGCTATGGTCACTCCACTAATGATATTTGTGATGTATTTTAACATTTTTACTTTAAGGTGTGTAGCCTATTTTATATTTAAAAGAATGTAAATGTCTCCAACGTTTTCGATCTTTGTTCAAGGAAAATAACTATGGGAAGCGAAACATTACTTGGAGTAAGTATATATTTCATAATTTCGTGACCATAGTGATATATTGGGGCACTTTATATGTATTTATTATTGATATCATTATTACTTATAAATGAATTGTTATGTTTTGACTTAACGCCTGAATAATATTGAAATTTAACATTATTAACCACTAAGAGTTTAATAGTTCTGTGTTGAACATTAATCTTTATACGGTTAGTTTTACCTCTCTTGAGGGAGATGAATTGGTATTGTGAAATGTCAGGGAAGATTTATAACTTAAGAGAATGATTTTAATGGAAAAAATGTCATTAAAAATTCTTTCTTCTACCTATAAATTATAAATATATCATTCGACTTTATTAAATAAACTTCAGTCACATGTAAAGTGATTGGTAATAAGCGTGTTCACTAGGACTTCGAAACAAACACCCACAAATACTCGGACTTGTTTTTAAATGATTTTATCTTAAAACCATGTTAAAATAATGAGATAAACGATTTCTTTGATAAAATCGTTATATCAGTCACTAATTTTACATTAGTGGATGGATTTCCATGGTGATACATATGTTTACGTGGTAAATTGTATTCAAATCGTCACTGAAAGGTTTCATTTAATTGATCTTTCACTTAATTCGTAAATAAATATGATTCCCCTAAACAATGGTTTACTGGGTTAACGTATTATGTTCGGCTTCCTTACTTTTCACATTTTAAAATTACAAATAAATATGTAGTTTGGATATGGTGGTTTCATTAATTTTAAGTGTACACATTGATTTCTAACATAGCATACTTAACAAAGGAAACCTTTACAGCAGGTTATCTTATTTATAGCTGCACAATAATACAAATTATGTATTATTTATTGTGTATTGCATTATAAATTTACGGACAGAATGCTTGTTTAATGGTAGAAATATTGATGACGTTTCGTTAAATTGTGATCTTCTGTTGCACCATAGCAGTATTGTACAAAGACTGATTATCTTGAAATTGATGTTTGACAAGGAACAAAAGACATGACTGATTGACCTCGTTTTCTGATAAACCATGGTAAGAGATGCATTGGATTCGGCGGAGACGTGAACTGAACTAGAAACTAATTTCTCAGGGTAACATGTAGTACTATAAGGTGAGTCTCAATGGAAAGGGCTGGTAATGATTTCATATACACAACTAGCACGCTTTATGTTAAAGAGGGATTTTCTTATAAGCATCTAAATTAAATCATATTACTAAATTTTGTTACAACGCAGAATGTGGATTTTGTCTATCAGGATGTAGTTTAGCACACTATTTTGTGAATGATGTCTATTGGCGTGATATATACATGTTGGGTGCTGAAAAACTGTGTGCATTCATCTCTTCTGAAAAAATAAAAAAAATGGTAAGTTATACTATAAATATTTATGATGACTTTTATCATTATGAATGTAATAAGACGATAATTCATTTCAAGTGTACTTGATACTAGACATAACGATAGCAGGTCCGATCTTTAATGGGCTCATAGTGAGCTAAGGAGTGCTAAACTAAGACTAAGTAGCTATTCACTGAATACTGCTTCACGATTTACATTTAATTATAAACACACTAGACATATAAATGAGCTATTCAGTTTAAATTTTGATATTTAATATTTAAAATGTTTATAAAAATATGTTTAAACATAACTTGAGAAGGGCGACCAAGTCCAATAGTTCATCAGGATTTTCATGAATAATACTTTTGTGAATGAGACTAAATTAAGTCATTTAGCATTTTGGCTAGAAGTCCAGCTTATCTAAAATATGAAAATGTTTCTACACATTAATTCATCCGGTTTGAAGTAGTTTAGTAAAATTTTCAATATTTTTCCTCTTTTAAATACTTTCTGTTTAGTGTGACAAATACACCTCGAAGTATTTACCAGAGATTTGGGATGCAATAGGATCAGTAATAGAACCTGAAGAAGTTTGTTTGGTAATGATATTTCTTGAGACTTTTATATATTTATTATCTTAGCCCTAAAAATATTCAAACTGAACACTTATACTAAATGTTCATCTATCAAAGGGAAAGTGAATTGCCCAATAGTTCGTATCACGCAATTATAATGTATTATTTGTAAACATAAAGAACATCTATGTGTTACATGTATGCTATCAGTTATATTTCCAAAGTATCTCTTGTATAAGGTTGAACCTCCAAATAGATAAAGACAGTTCACTGATTTATGAGGCTGTAAAGTTTGATTAACCAGGATGAGTGCTGATTGTGCCACGGATGCATAGACGCCTATCTACACTAGTTATTGTGACAGCATATAGTAGTAGTATAGTTAATAGCAGTAATAAACATTAAATATACTGGTTTCAATCTATTCACGCTCTAAAAGAAATGACAAACTTCTATTTGATAAGTTTAATCTTATTTTGAAGTTTCAGTTGGCTCATATTGAAAATCAAATTTTCATGTAAACTTATTTGAGTAGAAAGGTGTTTCAAAATGTAGAAAGTTTTGACTTGTTAGCACTTTGAAAAAAACAGGTAGTTAATATTTTAGTTGGGATGAGACCTTACTATTTTCTTTCTTCTCCACTCTGTGAATGATACCTGATTCAGTGTAAATATCACTGACACTATCATTACTGTATAATTGAGAGATAAAACAATGGAAACATATTGAAATCGTTCTGAGTATATTCTACTCTATTTAAGTGAGGATATCTTTGTTGAAAATGCATTGTCCCTAAATTCAATCTTAATTTTGTATATCTAATTAAGGCAATTTTTGTTCAATCAACTTCAAGCATTTCTTTACATTAAATTATTCGTAATGGAGTGTCATTATCAACATCCAGTGTATTTCAGCTATAATTAATCATTTGATTCGTAGTTTATTTTATTGGTTGATAAAACTCTGTAATTAATAATTATTTAATTGGTATGTGACTGAATTAACTTGGTCTCTTTCAGTAGATCTTCTTGACAAGATTAGTCTTTTGAAGAAGTAGTGATTAGAAAATATAATCGAGCTGTTGTATACAGTACCATAATTATTATTGGCATTGTAGCAGGATATTCTGTATTACACATTTCACCAGTTTTGTTCTCTGAGATGAATGATTTGGTCGTGGAGCTTTCATCGTTCTTCTGAACAACATCATCAACACAAATTTCTACCTGAAGTTTTTTCTGTACTCGGTCAAAATCATCCATTTGAGCTACAAATCTCCACCATCTCACATTTAACCACAAAAATGTCAATTAACATACTTATTATTTTTTTGTTTCCGAAATTAATATCTGATTGCAACAATTATAGACATGAGTTAAATATCACATAATTTTATGAATAAGATAAAGTTTTATAAAACAATCTACTGAGCTAAAATTAACAAGTATGTTTTACATGTACTTGAATTCATTTTAAGTTCACTGATATGATCATTCTCACTAAATTGCTAAGTGACATAAAGTTAAATTTGTTACGGTACAGTTAATGATTTGTTTTGTAAATAGATAAAACAGAATGAAGATTTGTGGAGATTGTAGTAATTTTAATAGTTGAATTGATGAGTCGTTGTAATCTAGACCATCATTGAAAACCTGAAAACACTGTACGGCCGTTTTGTCCTAATATTGGACTCACGAATTCAATTATTAAAAAATAAGTGATTTTTAATACTTGAATTTCGTTGAGAACGTTTAGTATGAAAGTCGAACTCAGATGACTCATAATGAAGAATTCCAGAATTGTATGTAAATGTGAATATAACACAGTCTGAAAACAAATATCAGTGAAACATTTAAATAGTAAAATCAGTCAAATAATTATCAAAAATAAACAAACTCCAGTTGATTTGTGATGTATGCTACTTATGTCGACAGACATAACATCTATCGGAACTGTCGAAAGAAAGCTGAAAAGATTGAAGTGAAGAAAACAGAAAGCGAAAAATAAAGGAATTGAGAATTGTAAGAATCATGAAGGATGTAGAGGATAGTTGATGGAAGATATACAAATGAAGTATTTAATGTATGGTTTTTACATTTTCCGAAAGAACTCTATAATATTGTGATAAACAATAAATTGGTATTTCTCACTTGAGTTCTCGTTCACTTCAAATACAGCAGAACTAGTGATTATAAAAATCCATAGATGAAAATCTAGGTAAATTATTAAGTTATTTCGTTATCTGGGTAACATCCAATAATTTATTTATAAATCCCTTTATTGATAACTTATCATTTCACAAATCTGTTGATTGACTTTTAATTTAAAGAAATGAATGATTTTTTAAAAATCGATCATGACGCTATCATAGACTGATTACTTGGAAAAAATATATTATCTATTAAAATAAAAACGTTTCGCCACAGGTAATGAATAATTCATGTAATTTACAATTTACATTTGTAGGACTTCAATATATGCAATTCGATTGAGGTTAAGATGTTTACAATCCAAAAAAGTAAGCATTTATATAATTTTTAAATAAATCAATAGTTTTCGCACAAGATATTAACTAACATTCGATATTCGATTATTGTATATATTGAGGATAGTTTTGGCCAAAGCAATTCAATGTATGGGACTGTGATTTTACCATTGAATGGTTTCAAGATTTTCAATATTAAGGCGAAATTCGATTTTACTGATGAGTGTCAGTCAATAGGACTGTAACGTTTCATAATACATTTATATGAGTAATATGTTTGTAAACTGTAATAGTTTCCATGTGTGCAAAATGAAACATGTTGAATTACTCATTATGAAATCCTACAGAACAGTTTCAGGAATCGAGAACCAATCAGCTATGGTCTTAAAAATGTTGATGCTCTTTCGTTTGTATTCGTCAGAATGTGTTTAAGTTAGAAATCTATACTAATGGTGCTGAATATTTATTTTACTTAAAAGATTTATGTTTTCTATTATCGATGTTAATAATTGTTTCATCATAACGTAACTTAGTAAACTGACAACTACTCATCAAAAACCAAGGGCTGGTTGTTGCATAAAACAAATCAACAAGATATTAAAATGTCATTGAACAATTTATCTTTCACTATATAATAAAGCTGGTGTTTATATTTACTATGAGGTGAAATGCGAATCCTTGTAAAGGATTTTTTTACAACTGATTAACTGAATCAATAATAAGCGTTGAAATGATGGAAAGTTTATTGAATTACGATACTTTGAAAAAAAAGGTTCACTGAAATTGTCACCTCAAACAGTCTTCTAACCGATTACATTAGCCAGTTTCAATGATAAGACATCAGGTTTGTAGTTTAACGGAAAGATTTTAAGGATTTATTGTGCTTTCTGAACTGGATAGTCTATTCATCGATTTGAGCAATATTATAATCAGGAATTCCAATGGTTTATTTGATTTGTAGGGTTTGTTGATAGTACTGTCTAGAAAGATAATGAAAGTTTCACAGTTAAGTAATCTATGACAGTGAGCAGAAGACTTACAATGGACCCAGACATATTTTGCATTATACTATCGAAAATGATAAATATTTATATTCCACAATCCAAAGAAGTAATAAATTTTAATTTTGTTTTTCATTAATGATTAGTTTTTAAATAAGATAGAACATATTGAACAAAATGTATCGTTTTACTGATTGTTGTTAGTAGAATATTTCATTTCTACTAAACTCAGTGCAAATAACTAGTATTTCTGTTAAATGCAGTGAACTCGGTTATTGATACTTTAATGGAATATCAAAGTTCAATGTTTTTCCTTGAAGGAAAAGCTAAAAGTATTTATATATTCTGTTTTAGGTGAGGCCATAAGATCTTCGGCTCCAGAGTGTTTAAATTCCATTATCACTACCTCATGAGTTTCTGTTTTCTCAGCGAATACCCATATTTGACTAAGGTAATCATCATATCAACTTTTTTAAACAGTTGAAGATATTGTAATAATTTTCACTATCCCAAAAGAACTAAGATTTTTTCGTTTCAAATGTGTTTTGTTTCTTTACAAATAACAAAATGTAAACATTTTTTCTCTACCTAGTTCTCTCTAGAATGTACACAACATAAATTATGGTATGAAATATTTGGTCCTTATGTTTTGAGTCATTGTTTCAATACTATTTAGATGTATTAATTACGATGATTAACGACGATTGTGTCCTTTTGTTTGTTTGCTTTGACTAGAATGAACTAACTTTCTTTGTGGTTATCCAGTTTTTAACTTCAAGGAGATAAATGAATGTTTGAAATTTCGATCACTAGCATAATATAAAAATCTTTCATGTTCAAATATGTCAGTATAGATAGAAAGTTTATCATTCAATATGAATTAATCTCCAACTAAGAAAATAACTTTATTTGAAAATTCATTCCACATTCAAATATATTTTTAGAATGACCTGTTCGACTTCATACATTTCGGTCCTAAGTGAAAAACGTTATCAATTGACAATATGAACGTTAGAATATTGAAGAATACATTGAACAAAAGCCAATTGCGTATTAAACTCTAAATGACTTGAATAAATAGGGATCTTTCTAAGAGTCTAGTAATAAATTATTATGTTTATAAAGCTTTCAGTCTAAACTTATATAACTAACTATAAGTTAGTGTTGATAGAACGTTCACCAGTCTGTCTTCAGTGTGTCAATTTAAGGTCATGGGTTTCAATACATTACTCAATCATTAAGATTCTCGTGAGGTTTACGACTAGGTCAATAAATCCGCCTATATATTAGTGTGATTTGACTTACATGTAGGCATGGAATTTTCAAAAGAGACATGGTTCTTATTGTACTCTACCCCTTTAAACGTTGTTATGTGACTATTGGAGATACCGTGTATATGAAAACAGTTTTTGATTAAATAGTGTAGCAAAAATTGGAATGCATTGTTCGAAGCAAACTGTAATTTTGTTTGGTAAATACATGAGTCAAAGAATAATATATTGTGACTTTGGGAGCACTGGAAGTCTCCTGATAAAAAGAACACGTTATTGAGCTGTAGAAAGAACTGTTTAATGCAACATCGGATTCTAAATATGAATATTTAAATGGAAGTATGAGTTTGCATTACAGTTCTTAAAGTCTTAACGTTAAGAGGCAACGATTGTAAGTCACAGAGAGATAAAATCCAACTGGAATAGTTCCCTAGACGTGAGCATTTAAAATCGTAATCTGTTTGCAAATAATTCTGAAATAAACCATAATTACTCAGGCTGACCAGGTATGTGAGAGATTTCACGTTTTCCAGAGCTTCTTCATGTGCTGTATTTGAGGGTCTTGCTTTTTCTTTCGTTTATGTTGAGGCCTACTGATGCGGAGGATGCTGCTACACTAACTGTCTTCATTCACATTTGTTTGTGTGTATGATATAGAAGGGTCAGGTCATCTGCGAATTCCAAATCCTCTAATTGACTCCAAGATGTCCATTTTGTTCAGTATTTTCTCTCAGATGTTGAGGTGTTCATAATCCGGTCGACCGTCAGAAGCAAAAGGAAGGGGGAGAGTAAGCAGTCTTGTCTCACATCGGTCCTCACTTTGAATGCATTTGTAAGCCATCCTCCATGCAAGATTTTGCAGTGTAGCCCATCGTATGAATTCCTGATGTTGTTGAAGATTTGATCAGGTATCAAAGAAGTCTCCATAAAGTCCTCCAACCCACAATGTCAAACGCCTTTTCATAGTCAATGGAGTCGATGTATAGTGACGAGTTCCACCCAACTGATTGTTCAACGGTGATCCGTAGTGTCGCGATTTGGTCTGTGCACGACCGATCTTTACAGAATCTAACCTGTTGATCTCGAAGTTAGGCATCTACTGAGTCTTTCATCCGGTTCAGCAACAGTGTATTAAAAATGTTTCCTGGTACTGGTAGTAATGTGATGCTTCTGTAGTTCTCACGTTTGATCAGATCTTTCTTTGGTATCTTGATGAGATGTCCTTCTTTCCAGTCTGTCCTTAGCACTTGCTCTTCCTCTTAAATCTTCCTGAAAAGAACGTGAGGCATGTTTGCAGTTACTTCAGTGTTTCAGCTGGTATATTGTCAGGTTTTGCTGCTTTCCCACTCTTTATTTGTCTGATGACCATTCTGATTTCTTCCAACATTTGTGGAGCGACATCTACAGGAAAACCTGTGTGTGCTTATTTGATATCCGGTAGATTCACGGAGCTGGTCTATTAAAGATTTCCTCGACGTATTACACCCATCTGTTCCTTTGTTCTTGAATCTCAATGATTGTTTTGTATCGTATGTCCTTTGACCGGTCTCTCTGTTTTACTATATTTCCCTGCTAGTTTCTTCGTCATGTCATATAGTTGTTTTATATTTCCTCCTCTTGCACCTTTTTCCTCTGTCGTTGATAGTTATTCCATGTAGTTCTGCTTGCAAGCTATAATGCTCCCCTTCATTTGCTTATTTGCTTCAGTGTACATTCAGCTTGTGCCTTGACTTTCTTTGTTCTTGTTCAACTGTTGTTTACCTCTGTTTTCTTGTTCATCCTTTCTTAAATCTTGTCCAAGATTTTCATAGAGATCCATTCATTATGATGCTTCTTGCGGCCCAGCACCTCCAGGTGCGTTGAAATTAGTGCTTTATGATCTCTTTCCAGCTGTTCTCCATAGTAGTTTTTTCTTCTTCAAATAGATCTTGTTAGGCTTGGAACATGTTTTTAAAAGTTATCTTAAATTGGTTGAGTTTGTCAGTACGTCAAAGGAAGGCTGTATTGAACCCTTGTAATGCTGGTTGTCCAGTTGTCCAATGCCTCTTTAGCTTCAGTTTTATTTTCAGAATCACCAAGTGGCGATCTGAAGCCACCTCATCTTCTCTGCTGGTTCTCACATCTTCTAATGTCCTTCTGAAGTTTTTTATTGATACAAGTATGATCGATGTGGTTCTCCGTCGTGTGGTCGGGTGAGACCCATGTAGCTTTGTGCATGCGTTTGTGTAATGATATTGTGCCGTCTATAAACAACTTGCTGAATGTGCATAGGTTTGCAGCCTCTCATAGAACTGATCTTTATTATCATCGCTGCTATCAATGGTGGGTGCATAACACTAAATAACATTCATTCTAATTCCCTCTTTCTTTATTTTGAATGTTTTGATGATCCTAGATCTACGATTGACGATTCCCATCCTATTAGTGCATTTCGTTCTTCTTTAGACAGTATTAAAGCAACTCCCTGAGTGTGTGGAGCATTTTCCTCTTCTTGACTGGAGTACAGCAGCATCTCTTCCACGCCTAAACTTTGCTATCCAGCTTTGGTCTAATGGGTTTCGCTAATTCTGGGAATCACCAAGTTGTATCTCCTCGTTCCCGTTGCTATTTGGCTGATCCTCTCGGTCTATCACATTATCCAAGCATTCTGTGTACCTATAAAATTGTTGCTCTGGTTGTTAGAAGGGGCATCGGCTTTGTGACTTTCAAAGAATCTCGACTCTCATCCTGAGGTGACATAATTCTTCCTTCAACTGGAAAAGCAGGGTTTAAATGGTTTAATTTGTTTAATCTGGTTGGCGTTTTTTAGCAAGATTTTATTCTACAGATGGGATTGCCGATCCAGTGTCTAACCCTCCTCCTTTAACCGGGCTTGCGACCGGCAGTAACCCCAAAGAGCTATAGGCGGAGTTGTGGTCGTATAATCCGTCTATTTATTCATGACTTTTTATATTATTCTGCATCGAGAACAAATCAAACAGTGTTCCAGATGACACATCTTCACTCTTTCCCTTGTCAACCAGTCGGGTGATTGGATAGTTTTCGTCTCTCCGTCCAAGGCCGTTAGTTTCTATTCAAACTCATACATTTGTTTACCTAAATATTGAACCAGTTAGCCTATCGTGTCAAGGCCTTAACCTAGACTGAGACAGAAAGGATATGACAAAGCTATTAATGTGTATATTTATCATGAGGGCTCAATTAGGTGATGAAATTAACGAGATAACAGTGTTGGTGGAAACTGACATCAGTTAATAAACCGAATTAAGAACATAAACTGATTGGATGATGTATTTTCCATGAAAAAAAATACATATTTACACATAAATGAAGTATTTTGTGGATCTCTTAGCAAAAATAAGTTCGCTTCTTTAGTAATGATTCTGATGTCCCATTTTTCAGCAGTATTTTTCCAAGTCTTTAATGAATGATATTCGTCTCACTTTGTTATTGTACATAGTGCTGAACATCATGATATGGCGCAGAAAAAACAGTCAAAATATACATGAAAACTCTCAATTCTACACTGTATAAAGATTAGTTTTAAACAGTTATTTTCAGCTAGTTTTTTGTTTAACACGTCAATTTCGTATTTAGATTGCAACAATTTGGAGAACAAAAACCTTTGGTTAAAATCTGACTAGAAAAGAATAAAAACGTGTCATTGATGTTTGACTGAGTTTTTAGAAAGAATGTGAAAAAGGTAACTCAGGTTTAATTATGAAAAAATATATTCCAGTATCATATTGGTCAAATTTTAGGTACATACTGAAAATGTAATAAAATGTATCATGTTTTTTAGACATATAACAATATAACTTGAATATAATGTTACTTTACTAGCCTGAAATTCTGGAATATCCGGCTAATATCAGCCAGCAGATGTCAGACTTTAAAAATTATATATATACTTTACGAAACCATCGGCCCGAACGCTTCTTATTGGTTAAACTACAGATTGATTTGCTGACGTTCCAGTGGGTACTTAACCCTATTCAAAGAAATATAATGGATTGTGGTGGTCGGTGTTCGATATATTCCTTAAACTCCGTATACAGTTCGTCTCGGTAACCGTCACCAAATAATGCTCCAACGGTATATTAATCAGAAGGCGAATAAGAAACGTTAATTACGTTTATTAAGGGACCACACACAGATATCCAAAATTACAGATGCGTTAAGCAAGCATGAAATAGTTATGCCGAAAGGCAAACAGGCAAGCGAGCGAGCGAGAGAGAGCAAGGGCAAGAGCGAGCGATCGAGCGAGTGAATGAACGAGCGAGCGAGTCATGAATATGAATAACATGGACATATATATACATAGTGAAATTAATGAATCATCGAGTCAATTAAGCGGTTAATAGTAAAGCTAGTAGCGTGAATAAATGCGTAGGCAGTAAGGCTTGCCGAGCATACATATTCATACAAGGATAACAATAATAAAGGTACATACATTTGCAACAGTAATAAGAATACAATAAGTTATTATAGTGCAGGTGACTTTGTCCGTTTAATAAGTTAATAAAAGGGCTTAACCGAATTAGGTGAGAGCAAACTCAATTGAATGTGAGTTGCTATAGGATAAGGATCGCTGGATTCTACAAGGTAAAGAGAATTAAAATTACTAATTCCATCTTAGTATTCCGAATCACTGTACTTTGTACTGGATATGAAAGCTTAAGTTTTGACGTTTTGTGATTTGAAATCTATAAATCACTCAAGACTGGACTAGTAAAATAAAGTGGCGTTTGAAGAGCTTGGCTTCCGTTGGGTAGTTTATAATAAAAATCACTAACAAAATATATATCCGTTGATGTGAAACTACTTCAACTAAAATAAATTTTTCTATTGATAACTAAAAGCTCATAAATCAACTCAATTGAAACATTTTCGTTAAATTAACAGCTAAAAGTATTTTTAAAGGTTATTATTTATATTTCCTCTGTTGGTAAACTGCCATAAAGAAGTTGGACTTGATGTTCGTTGCAATAACTTAGTCTCAAAATTATCTGCACGAGGTTATGCTCACTTGTTATGGTATTTTTCAACATAAACTTGAACAGTTAATTCGGGAATTATAAACATGTTTTACATCTAAATCTCACATCAGCTGAAATACACTGTAATTTTGGCCTTAAAAACTGTCTTCAGTAAATGAATGTGTGGAACAGGTGTTTCTTATTAAATTACTAAACACCTGAATAGCGGTGATATAGTCAGATAGCATATAATGTTTAACGAACAACAGTTACTCGAATATTATTTAGAATATATATTGTTATGATGCATCGTTAGAATAGCTCATCAAAATTAAATTATATAATGTGGGATCACTGCCCAGTATATACTTTTCTCTCCCACGGAGAATGATGGTCAGAGGCTTATGCTCCTCCACGAGGGGTGACAGGCATAAGTATATAAGTAAGTACATAAGGCTAATGCTGGTTTAATCTATAATTACCTGGTGTCTTCTTAATCAATTTCACTGTCCACCATTGTCTCTAGTGAGTTACTATCGCACAATAGACCTGGTTGAACTCGATTGATCACGGCTTCTTTCGTGGATTAGGTGAAGTTAGACATTAACAACGTTGGGGGCAGGCTCAGTGGTCTGGAGGTTAGGCGTTCGCGGGCGAAACCGATAGGTCCAGGGTTCAAATCCCGCACGGAGTCCCGTACTAGGACGAAACGGCTGTCCAGTGCTTTCAGGTTTCCCATGGTGGTCTAGCTTTAATTGACTCATGAATTCAGGTAATAAATTAATTTCATTTGAATAACAGTGTTTTTCTTGCTTGTATTATAAGAAAAAATGAATAGTGGCCAGCAGTGGACTCCAGGACTCGCGTCTCGTCCTATTTGGTACGCGTCAGCTGGATGTACCTGCATCCTAGTGTTGATGTTCGCTCTGGGACTCGAACTCAGTACAGTTCGCTTCAAACGCCATTGGGTTCTCCACTTAGCTACTCAGTCCTCATAGCTATCTGCTTGTGAAATAGGGTGAAGTTTAAATTCACTTGGTACTGTTTTACTTGTATCTTCCCATTGTTATTTAGGACTGCAATTGATCAGTCTTATGTTGGCATATGTGCATCCTATGCGGATTACCTCAATATCGCCTTAAGTCACAAGCTTCCCTATATTAGTTATCAGTTACAAAAGTGATTGTTACATTTTCACATTTCCATAATTATTTCCAATTCAACAACTGTATTGTAATTATTTTCAGTTTTTTTTTAATGTTTTTGCATTTCTACTTCAAGAAAGTAGTGTTATTTTTCGTATGCTATTTATATACTTAGTTGTCATGACAACAACAACTTATTTACAGGTTCGACTAACTGAACAATGTAGAAAAGAGTTCAAGTATACCATTAGATTAAATGATACCATCTTATTTAACTGACAGTCTATAATATTTTATCATTTCTTTTTTTGTAAATGTTATTCATTCTACAAAATACATAAAATTACGTAATATATATTGCTTAATTTTATAAAAACCGCTTTTTTTTATTTTTAAAATTTTTTATTCAGGAAAACAATAACAATATGAAATGTAAATGATTATTGTATGATACTTAAGTTTAATTTATTTAAATGTTTAAAATTAAAGAAAATGATTTATAAGATAAACTTTTCTAGACTCGTATTAGGTAACAACTTAAAAGTACATCAAAAGTAGAGAAGAAAAGATAACATACAATTTTTTTTTTTATTAAGAAACCCAGTTACAAAATGACCAATTCTGTAATTTTCAATCATCTGAAATTAAAATATAATAGGATATTAAAAAGTTTATTGTCATTTGTTTACTAAATGAAATTTATATTGTTCTATACGATAGTTGAATATTAAATAAATAGTATTTATTTACGTAATCGATCAGTTGTTAGGAAAGTTAGAACGAATGTGATATGGTGTAAGTATTTTTTTATTCATATTAGCATATTAACAGGAAATAGATCTTCCAATGATAACCAAACGGACTCATATTAAAGCTATGATAATTATAATCCTAAACTAAGACAAGATTTTAGTTTTATTAAAAGCCCACATTTACTAAATAAATAAGAAGCCTAATTATATATTACTCCTCTGTAATAATTACGTGCATATGTATAAAGAAAGGAAGTATGGAATCTTTATTAATTGACTTAATGGCTGAATGTAAGTAATGGCAATATATCATAATGAGAATTGGAAGATAATATGACGAGACTATATATTATGAACGGACCAATCAAATGTATGATAATAGGTCTCGGATTTCGGCGCAAAATCCACTCAGCCATTTGGCTAAATAGAGTCTTGGCATTATAGCTGATGTCAGTTCGTAATGAAAACTCTAAACCTAATTCCTAACCGTAACCGTCAACTGTAAATCATAATTGTAATTCCTCACACAGGTTTATAATACATATTTGGTCCTAGTTATTAAGTGGACATTCTCAAGTTTAGTCTAGAGTCGTTCAAAGGTCGTCCATTAATTATAGCCTCACCGATAATACGTTTTATTATTCTACGCAACTGAAATTATTTTTAAACAAATAACTACTTTGGGTCTAATTCATAAGATTTCAGCTTCATTTAATGTATTTTCATCTTGTAAAACATTAGTTTTTAAAGAAACAAAATACGATCGTTTCAAAACATTAACTTATAGACAGTAAATGTTCTGCGTATAACACTGATATACCAAACAATGTGTGTGAAACTTCATTCCATTCTAAAGTAAAAGTATACTGTACTTAAAGGCACCTACTTGTTTATTTCTTTATTATGAATTTATTTTGATATTATTATGCTTTATCAGGTTATTGTTTTAAGACGAAAAAAAACAAACTTACATGTAACATCCACTTAATGGAAGATAAGTTTGTAAAGTTTTATGAAAGAGCAAAGTGCCTGAAATAAAATTTTATTGATTTAATAAATGAATTTCCCGGACTGAAATAAAAGATAAATTTTAACTAATAACAAATGAACAAATCAGAATATGATCTCTGGAGAGGTAATGTGTATACACTACTGAAGATTCTTATACTGTAGTGAACGAGAACACAAGTGGGGATAATCCAATGTACTTGAAAATAAAATTACAGAATCTCTTAGTAAAATTTAAGCACTATACAGTAAATACTTCATTTGAAAAGTATCAGTCAATTGTCTCACACTTCATTTTTCTTTTGTTTCCACACTAATTATTCTGTGTTCTCATTTTCTTTTCTTCGATCTTTTCAACTTTCTGCCATCAAGTATTCCACTTTCGATTGATGATGTATACTACTTGTATCTATTGATATCAGTAACACACACCACAATATTAATATGTATTTGTTTGAAATAAAACGGGCTTTAATAATGGGTTTAATAGTTACATGTATTTAATTGTGTTTGAACAAATAAATCTAACCGAAACAATATACTGTTTTCCAATGAATCTTTAAAATGTTACTGGTAGGATAAATGAAATTTTCTATGAAACATTTGCTGATGTTTATTATTATTTTTCAAATGTTTTATGTTCTATTCAATATGAATCAAATTGCTAAAAGTAAGTTTAAATTAACCAACTCTTATGCAAATTATATTGATAACTGAAATGATAAACTTTTGAAAATATAGTCTACTATTAATTGTATAAAAGTTTACACCATTTGCTAACCATTGTTTCTACTCGCTTTTGTTTTTGCTTTTTTGAGAAAGATAGTTGTTTATGAAGGTTTGCTAGCACACGACAAAACGTTTTTGTGAACTAACTGACGAATTATAGTGCATGTATGTACATAACACTACACCGGTAACATTTTGAGTTTGATATGGATTCACTTATGGAATTCAGCCAAATTATCATTAAATTACGTTCAATTTATTTCATATGACAATTTTCTAGATACGCATTTAAGTGAAACATTTCAGTTTTACTGAACGTTCAGTAAAATATATGAGGGTTTGAGTTTTACCATTGTTGATATTAGGAACTTATACATATATCATTTTTTCCGAAATATGTGGATTTTATGTATACCATCATGATATTACCCATAATTACAGTTTTAATATAGTTGGTTTGGGTTTAGCAGTGGAATGTGTGTTTCGCCTTATTTGTAACTCTAACCCAATAACTATTAATTCAAATACCGATGCGTTATCCACTAAACTACATAATTCAGTTAGCCAATAACATGTTTGACCATTATGAATTTATGTGTTAGAATTCCAGTTTTTCTGCTGTTAATATTAAGAACTGTGACCAATCAGCCTTTTGATGAAAAATATGAAAGTCAGATTTATTATTAAATGCAAAATTTATCGAAATAGATGAGTATTTCATTAAACCATGAAGACTAAATTATCATAATCATATATTTGTGCTTGGTTCACAAGAATTGTTATTAATTATATTGAGAAGTGCGGTTTTCCTAAGATACTCATTTCTGTATACGTTACAATGAATCTTGCAAATCCTATTATTAAGTCACATTTACGTACTGATAATCCATTGAATAAATTACTTTTAACTGTATACTAGAAATCTATATTGAACTCTCCTTCTGTAATTGTGCCTCTATTATCTCTATACACAAATAAAAATTAAATCTAACATTATTCTCATTAAAAACATCAGATATAGTTTGTCAGTACACTCGATGATAATATTGGTTTACCACAGGATTACTTACATAACATGATTGATCTGCTCTATGATGTTGAAAATACGTAATTGCAAGATCCATATATTGTTGAAGAACTTTGTTACACTAAAATTACATTTAATATTAAAAAACTGTTTAAAAAGTGATCAGATTTCATTTAACTTTAAGAAACAAATATATTAAAGATTCCTATTCTAAAAATGAGAACAACACGTATGTAGGCGAACAATATTGTTTTCATTATATGTGAAAATTATATTTAAAATAATCTCAGCGATTGAAATTTACAATAATTCCAACGTTCCGTCCAGCTAACTTGTCTGGACTTCTTCAGGGTAATAATCATTATTTCAAATATAATTTTCACATATAATGACTTCTTTATATTCGGCGTCCAATTTCTGTCAAACTATTTGTTCTAATGTTGACGAATATTCGTATAAAATATTGTTTTCAGTTGAATCATTATGAGGCTTTACTCTAGAACAAACAAATTTTTATTTAAACATTTTAAAATATTTGAATAGATGAGTCAATATAAGCTAGACCACCATTGAATACATGGAAATACTGGACGTCCGTTTCGTCTAAGTATGGGACTCCTCATGAATTTAACTATTAAAATTACTACAATCATTCTGATAATAATTTTAAAATAATCAACGGAATTTATAGGTCAATGATCATAATGAAATAGATTGTATAACCTCATATAATGGGTAAAAAAATACGAATTGATAATAAGTAGATAGCTGTACTAGCTGTGATAAGAATAATAAAATAGTTATAGTCGATAGTTCAACATAGGAAGTAGATCAAATATGGATAAATAAACTTTAGAGTAGTAATTAAAAAACATCATTAAAATTACGTAATAAGTGCGTAAGTGATTAGATATTGGAGAATATATACGGAAAGCGGTGAAAAATAACAAACAAACACAGGATGTGAAGACTTAATAAAATCGTTTATTACGTCATATCTAGCCAAGGGTGCCACGATTTTTTTCTGAACACATAAACTAAATAGTGGGAAAGATTTGTCGCTCAGGTGGGTGACTGGTGGAATTATGTCTGATAAGCTAGATTGTTTGGTCGCGGAGTTTTCATTGTTCTTCTGAACAACATCATATATATTGGTACAAAGCCATGAAAAAAACTAACTGGAAAGAAATATTTGTTTGGTCCATTTTTATACTGAATGTCTGAATGGGATCTTTTGTAAATTCGTTAGTTAAAATTTAAACTTACCTTTGATTCATCTGACGCATAAAGTAAACATATCACTTTCATTGAAGATTTCATTTGTTTAGTTTCTGTGTGATCAGTAAAAATACTTTGTATTCTATTATAAACAAATTTACACTCTTCACACAGTATACTATCTCCTGAAAATAAAATACAAGCTATTTATTTTCGATATTTCGGGGCACTTAAAATAGTATTTAAACGAAAAAACATGTAATCAATGAGATTTCAAATGTGAAATTAACTAAATTAACTTCAAAGTGTATAGTAAAATGCATTATACTATTTATTTCCATATGAACAACATAGTGTTGACACGAATAATACAAGGATGGACTGATATTTGAAAGATAAATTAGGGATTTATAAATATATCAGATGAAAATTATCCTTATGTCCATTTTCTTATTTCTTTTCAACTTAGATTTTCAAACATTTATTTACTGATGTAGTAGCGGGAGTAAGGCAACTGAATGATCTTTATTAAGTAGACAATAAATAAATTTTTGTTATTTTGTGTAAAACTTGAAAAACTGAGGTTCATTTCCGTCACTGGAGATTTATTTTATTTGCTTGTACATAATTCATATTCTTGTTTCTGATGATTTTTGAAGAAAAATATTTTAATGATTTCTTATAGTATCATTATATAGATTTGTTGAACTCTCAATGACGTAATATTTGAGGTATTTACGATGTCATTATACTGATAGATTAGTGTAAAAGAATTTTTTAAAAAGTATTCTGTCCATAGAAACAAAAAATATTTGATCATTTGTATTCCATTTATTCATTTAAATTGTTTGGATAATTTACTACTTTGACTACCTATTTGATTTACATTAATTAAACAGCTTTTATTTAGGGGTCCATAAATGAAAACAAATTCCCTTTTTTTTTAAGTAAATACTATTCTATAAGTAATAAATAAGTAATATATTTGTAATATCCCAATGAGTAGAAAAATGAGATTTTCTGACGTTTCGTGACTTAGTGTAGGCCATTTCTTCAAAGAATGAATAACCAAATCAAAATTAATCCAAGTTTCTATTGAGAGAAGAAGGCCTTAGCATACATTCTAACTGGACTATCTATCCTAGCCACCTAGTCTGATATTATTTACAATTCACACCATTAACTAACAAATTAAACACTATCCTTTCTCACCATAAATGTCATAAAATTTTCATCCTTAACAGTGCACACATACATACACACAAATTTACATACACGTCGCTTATGAATCACCTTGACCGAAATGACATGACATTGATTTATTCAGACCTATTTTTTGATTGATCACATAATTTTCTTGTTGTTCCATTGTACTATTTAAACTTGGATTAATTTTGATTCGGTTATTCATTCTCTGAAGACGTGGCTTACACAAAGTCACGAAATGTCAGAAAATCTAGTTTTTCTACTCATTGGGATATTACAAATAGATTATTTATTTATAACAATCTGCCCAATGCTCAATTTATTCTAAATTGTCTAATCAGACCTTGGTAGTGATACTTACATATTCTATAAGTAAGAAAGATTATTCACTATTTACGATCAAACTTCAGTATTTACGAAATATGTGAAGATACTATAATTTTGTACTAGTTAGATAAGCCAATATGATAAATGGAAATTAAAATAATACTTGAAATCATATCAGCCATACAATATTTTGAATGACGAGTGCTGGTAGGCAGCCTATACTCCTCTACGAGGGGTAACAAACGTAATTAAGTAATACAACTGTAAATTATTTGTTATTAGCCATTCATTTAATCCAAATGGATTTATATTTCAAAATGAATCATGTATTCGTTTGTTAATCTTGTCAATCTTATTAGTGTAATTAAATGACTTTAAAGAGCTTTCATGGTGGCAATTAAAATAAACGAACTATGTTAGATGTTTAAATAAAATTATTTCTGTGTTCTTCATCATCGTGAACATAACATGATACTGTTAAGTTCGTTAGTTTTACTATTTAAAGTGGCCGATTCTCTATCTAGCGAGGATATGTCAACAGTTTTTAATCAAACTATAATTATATTAAACTATCGAAGAAGTCAGTTTCTATCTTAAATTTCTCAGTAGACTATTAGATAAATCGACGAGACTATAATTTATGGACGAACCATTCAGGCTTACGACAACAGGTCTTAGATTTCGGCGCGAAATTCTTTATCTGTTTGACTGAATAACGCATCTTGGCATTTTAGCCGGTGTCAGTTAGTGATAAAAACCTTAAATCTAATCCCTATACCCAACCATTAACTATAAATCATAATTCTTATCCTTTACTCAGGTTTAAAACCCTCATTTATCCCTAGTCAGTAAATGGACTTCCTCAAGGCCATTCTAGTGTCGCTCAAAGGTTGTCCATAAATTATGATCTCATCGGTAAATCATTTTAATTATATTTTTCTAAGTAACTATAGAACCATTTAGATTCACAATAATAAATTTAGATTTTGATAATATTAAAAAAAAACAATTAAATGAATGAATATGTCAGCATATGAAAAGACTTCATCTTATATAATTCTACTTACCGGTGTTTCTAGCAGTTAAAGAATTTGTATCATTTGTACAAGCTTGTAATGCCTGTCAAAAAGAAGAAATTTTCGGTGGTACGAATGTTTAAAAAATAAGTGTTAGATATATAAACATTCATGAAGATACTTAAAATATACCGAATAAATATAGAATTCACGCTCATACGATAGAATTCAAATATGTAAAAATAACACATAATATTAAGCTCATTACTTGTAGTTCAGTGAATGAGGCGACAATAGTTGAATATATTGATTCGGGTCTACTTGAGAGTATTAACACATGAATACTGATACATCAAGTCATCAGCTATCAACTTGATTAAAACGAAAAGTTGAAGTTAAAATATCACCAATCTGTCAATAGGGTCAGCATTAAAGTTCATATTGCTTCAGAAATGATTAATTCAAGTTTTAATGTTTATAAATGGAAAATAATACAATATATTAAAGGTAGGTTATGAATTCATTCAGTTTTATGGAGTTTTGTTCTCTGAGCTGGTGGGTTTCGATCAGCTCAGAGAACAAAACTCCATCAAAATCATCCATTTGAGCTACAAATTTTCTCCACCATTTTAGTTTTCTAAAAAAACGTCTCATCTGTCGAATCCGCTTTAACGACGGATAATGTGGCCAATTACAGAAAAATTATTACTGTTATTTCTCATTGTATTTTTCAACAAACACGAATTTTCTGGTCATAATAAAATCATACGATTCATGACTAAAAATTATTTTCATCGTATTTAAATTTCGAATGGGTCTTAGTTAGATCAGTATTGTAACATGGAAGAACTATACACTTGTCTTAGCTTGGGACTCAGTAAAGTGCATTCAAACTATATAAATAACATTCATGTACTTATTAGTGACATGCTTCACGATATAATTCCTGGAGTTCTAGTGAGAACTTGTGATCAGTGGAGTTCAACGGTGTCTGATATGAGACAATCATCAAATCCAGACAATTGGTGGGAGTTAAGAAGTATAGTGAGTTGATTGAAGTTAATGTCAGTCCAGTTTTCTAGAGATGAAATGTTTACGTCAAGTCCGAAGTATCAGAGTTAAATTCCCAGATGCGAGATCGTTTGATGTACACTGCTGTGTAGTTTCTTATTAGGATGAATTGCCCGTCGAGTGCTTTCAGGTTTATAACGGTTGTCTAACTAAGATCTTTTTGCTATAAAAATACACTGACAATCCTATTATCTACACAAAACACCATACTGATGAAAATTACTTGTCTTCTGGCTTTATTATTAATGTTCATACTTATGAAAACAAAAATAATACAGGACAAAGTTATACAGAATCGTTTTGTTATACAAAATTTTCAACTATGAACTACTGGAAAAGTTTTGATGCAAATGGAGAAACTGATGATATATATTTAAAAAGGCTAAAATATGTGCAAGACATTCAAAACAATTACCTTGCAAATGTAGTCAGGATTCACTGCTGTAGCCAGTATGTTCAAAGTTTTATTAAGGTAATTATTCACATATTGGAGGCACTTGGATGAATATAAAAAATAAAAAATAAATGAGTGGTATACTCTTTTAGACTGAAACAACTTGGATATAGTGATTCTAGAAGCATACTGTTTTTACTGAACTTTCACTGCTGTGGTTAATGGTAATTAGCAAATTACAATGCTTACTAGAATACTTTGGATGTGTAAGAAATTAGGTTTCAAAAAACACTATTGTTTTACTAAACAGTTTATTTTACTAAAAACTATAAAATTAGAACTGATCAGAAGAATGAAATTAGTTTATGTTTATTTGAAAGTTACCAATCAACTTAATTCATTTTTGTATCGATTGTTTGAATGTTCCAACTGATGTTTAGTAATGCAACTAATTAGTTGCTTATTGGCCTACATAGATTTTGTACGGATAGCCCTGATATTGATTTTAGTCACAAGCATTATAAACAGAGATGAATGATGGCTAGCAATGGAATTCAGGACGTGCGTTTCGTTCTATTTTGGACTCGTCAGATGAATATACTTACATCTCAGAGTCGATGTACACCCTAAGACTTGAACCCAGTATCGTTCACTTTAAACTGCATCAAGTTATCCACTTACATACTGAGGTTCAAACAACCAATATGAAATGATTTCAAACTTCATCCTATTGCACAACCTAGTGGTTATCTGATCTCAGTAACTAGGTGGTGTTGGGGACGTTAGATCCCCAGAACTCATTTGGGAAAGGACCTAATTTTGTAATTTCATTTGGAAAATTTGAATTTCTTTGTTTTCGCGTCTAAGGCGCTCTTTTCACCATTATGTTGTATTTCTCACTTGGGAGGATCTTAACTGCAATTGGTCCGTTGTGCTTTTTATTATGCTATTTGGTAACTCTCACCAAGGACGGTTTTGTGCTGTATATATACGTTTTGGTTTCTGTTTGTTGTTATCGCTCGTTTCTGGCTGTTTGCAGAATATAATTCCCCATTTCAAGCTTGGAATTCTTCCTCTAGTTAGCGGGGCTGGGATTCATCAAATAGCTAGCTTACTGATCTTTGGTCACCGAGTCTTTGTTCTCGTTAGCAGATTAAATGAACTCGTGATAGCTTCAAGCCTAGCAAGTGGATGGAGTTTGAAGCGAACGATACTGGGTTCGTGTCTCAAAGTGAATATCAACTTTGGGATACAGGTACATCCAGCTGACGAGTCCCAAATAGAACGAAACCTGCATCATGGGTTCTACTGCTAGCCATTATCCTTTACTGCTTATAATCAACTTTAACATTTTAATGGAAGTTTTATGAATATTCATTATCATTCGATCCACATGACTACCAATGTTAATTACTGTTTATTTATAACAAATTACGTAACTCATATAAGGTTTAGATTTTCATCAGTCAATAAACATTTTAAACCATTAGAGTATATGTAAATACATGTGTAGTTCATGTGTAGTGTGAAGTTTCAATCAATGTACAATTGGTAAATAAAGAGGGAACGAATAGAGCGAAGAAATTTCTTTACAATTAGTTTTTCATCATGGTTCCACACTAATATATATATATATATATATATATATATATATATATATATATATATATATATATATATATATATATTCATAGACCAACTTGTGCTCGAAATTATATTGGAAATCTTTAGGTCGCTATAGAATTTGATCAATTGGAAGGACCCTCAGACGCTATACGCTTAATCAAATCGATTCTTTAAATGCATATATTACCAAGATGTTAAAAAATGTCAACGAGAGAATTTACGCGGTAGAAGAGCTCCTTGATAAATTAAGAGAACAATATCTGGACTATGTTAAGATGGTTGTTGATGCATATTAGTGTAGAACCATGATGGAAAACTAATTGAAAAGAAATTTTGTTCGCTCGATTCGTTCCCTCTTTATTTATCTAACATCAAAATGGGAATATACGATTGCTTATGATCATTATATTATTTTAAGAATAAAATTTTTATAAAGCATCAATAGAAATGATACATAACAAGAAATTTATCCTTCAGATAAGTACTCTTTGTCTAATAATAGAAAAGGATAACTGTTCAATGTTCAAATTTTTGTTACTTACAGTGTTTCTTAGATTTTCTGATGGAATAGACTGACATACTTGTTGTGCTGCAATCATATAAATCTGTACCCAATAATTTTCTGAAAGAATGTAGTGAACCAAGTTCATCCCTGCTAAGCATGTATCACATTCGGCTGAAAATATAGTATTATCATTCAAATAGACAAGATTGTTTGGTCACTAAGATGACAACTTCAAAAATTAGCGAATATTCATACTTTTAGTGTTTATCAAAGGAGTTGATCGTAAATTTAATACAGATGTTCAGCATTTACTTCTTATCTATATTTTGTATAGATATTACTGAGCATCAAAATTAAAAATGTATCCACAACTTTCAAATGTTTGATGAGAAAATAGCCTAACTTTTGTGTAATATTGATCCTCAAATATAACACGATAAACTGGAATATATTCTTGACCAATTTAGACTATAGAACTAATCTGATTCCACTTAAAATATTGGCAAAGCAACTGACATTGTCATTTTATTAGTTCTGATGCATGGGGGTAGTTACATTTAAATAATTTCCAGGGTCTTTCGTAATTTATTCATTCTTCCTAGATCATGCATCTATAGATCCAATACTTCATATTTATACGCCAAGGGATGTATATTAAAAACAAATTCAAAGAACCTATTGATGAAACGAAAATTCCCTCATCAGTTGCTGTCAATTTATTTTTATAAAGACTAGTTTTCAGTATCTATTTAAATTTCATTTGCTAACTTAAGTTACATTATTCAAATTAGTACCTGAATATAGTTTAACCAATATGTTTATTGAGCATTTATGCGACACTGAATAATGTAGTTTACATCATATCTTTTAAATTGGTTATTAAACTCGGAAGTAATTTATGAGTCAGATGTTTTCTTGAAAACATTATGGTAATGTATTTATGCTACAAAAAGCTTTTTAAGTGTTATATGTGTGGTTAGAAGAAACTATTCTCTATGTTTTATAGCTAACTAGAAATGTTTGAATTATTATATATTTATTAATTAGGGATTTTTCGTTTATCAGTCTTAATTAAACTGTACAATTGAATGGTAAACAAAACATAGTTATGAATTTAAAATAATAAAATACTTTTGAATTTAGGGAGATAATAAAAACTGTATCTAAATTGGACGAGGTATGAACTATAGATGAATATTTCCATCGTTGTTTATTAATGCTGTTTACTTAAGGAAGGCACTGACGACATTACTCATATTGATATTAAAAAAGTTTGAAATTAAACCAACCATTTTGTCCGACGGTTTAGATCCCGTGTCAGAGGTGTTACCACTGTTATCCGGGCCGCGACTGACCTCCTGTAGAACTGAGTTGTATTCACAAATGATTGATCACTGTGTGTTGATCAATGTCCAGATAGCCCAGTGGTAACATCTCTGACTGTGAATCTGGGTAACACGGGATCGAATCCATTAGGAAGCATCAGTTCCCTAAAGATTACAGGTACACCTTGCTGAAGAGTGTCGAATTGCAGGAAACCCTGGTTCAGGGTTTCCTGTTGACTATCTCTAACCACCATCTTATCTCAACATAGTGCATGTAATGTCGAGTCACCTAGACTAGTGGCCACATTGCAACTAGGTTGATAGCATTCGATCTGTACAAAAACGACCTGACACACATAATATTGATCACCACTCAGTGATCAATCAATTGTGAAAATCATATTTTCTTGTTGTTAAGGTTACGTAAATCACTCCCATGTCACATGTACTTTACATTTAGTTTTTCCATAATTGTCATGATGGAAAATCAACAATGAGAATGTTATTTTAAAATTAAAGTTGTCAATACAAAATGGTTTGAATATTTGTACAACTGATTTTCTATCCTGTTTATTATATTGTTATTACATTTATTGTTCATACATTTCCTTAAAATATCCTTGGAAGCGATGTTGTATGCACAAAAATGGAGAATTCGTAAATAAAAAATATATTGACATAACACTTGATAATCCGGATTTGAATTGTTCTTTTTTATTAGTGGTAATGCAATAATTGTTTCAAAAGCTTCAATCTCGGATGGTCATCTTCAATTAATCATTCATAGGTAAATTATACAAACTAATATTTTCACAGTTCTGATACATTTTTCAGTTTTATACTGTGCAGAACCTATAATTGATATAATGTTAAGATCCAAACTATTCATGTAGTGTAATATTCTTAAAATTGTTAATTAACTACTTGTATTTTCAGTAATTACTAATGGAATGTGAACGGCATTATGGAAGTGATGGAAAGTCAAAATGAGCTCATTATATATATATATATATATATATATATATATATATATATATATATATATATATATATATATATATATATATATATTTAATCACCAGAAACAGAACATACCTAATGTTGAATTGTCATCGTTATTTGTCTTAGCAACTAAATTCTGTGTAGAGAAATAACACAGTAAGATATAAATCTTTTACATTACAATAAATAGTCATTTTATTTATTTGAGTATTTAGCAAGTTTTATAAAAAAAAATACATGTGTAACGGTTTTTTTGAACAGATACTTGAAAGTATAGTTTATATCGGACCTACAATTGAATATAAATTGTATACTGCATTTTCTTACGTTAAAAGACTACTTTTGGTGGCGTGAAATCTCCTTTAAATATAATCTTTTCCCACTAAGAGTGTTAAGCTTAATAATTGATGTAAATCAATTGGTGTAGCTAGTATTCATCTTTTGTTCTAACCTACCCCGGGTGTATACACTGTCTCCATCAAGAAAAGAAAGACTTGGTTATTCTGTTATTCATGCTTTTTTTAAATTAAAGAATGTGCTAGTTAATTAGTCTTTGTAAGGATAAAAACTGAAGAAAATAATACTACAAAAACTGTAATATATTTACAAGTCTGTCACGGTGGTAAAAGCATCGTACTAAAATTTATTGTACACGATTGATTTATTCTTACTTGATAAAACTTTAATTCCTAATTCAACTTATTTATCTTATCTCTTTGCCTGGACATTTAATGCTGATATTATTGTTATTATATTCATGCTTATTATTCCATTGTTATAGTATTTATATTGTACCATATATAGATAGATATACTATTGTGTTAAAATCACATTAGTCTTTCTCATTTTCTGTGCTAGCTTATACAAACTATCTAGTTATTGTTTAAATTTATTAAGCAAATCAATTAATGATTATTTACAGTCATTTTTAAGATGTACATGTTGCTAAGGAAATATAGGTAAACAGGTATTTGTTTGGGTATAAATAGTAGCTTTATAAAATGCAAAATATTAAAATCTTGACTCATTTAAGAATAAATTGACTATATAAGATAACGCCTGCTTGAAATCGTCACGATTCAAGTTCATAGTTGTGTAAGATGATTTCAATTGAAATTTTTAATAGAGAAATAAACACTTTCAATACTTGACTTCATCTAGTGAAGTGTACATCTTACATTGACGATTGTAAATTGATTACATAAAGAAAATGAGATTAGTGCTACCATTTTATAACATAGAATGATTATATATATATTAGTGAAATATAAAACTTACTATTTTGTTTGATTCAGCTGAAAAAATCGCGGTTTGTACAACAAACAATAAAATGAAGACAGAATGAATCATTGATGGAATTGGTTCAGTTACTAAATGTAAAACCTATAGTATGTATTAAAATTATGAAGTAAATTTAATTTATTTTTTGTTCATTTATATTCACCCTTTATTATAGACTTCAACATTTTAAATCACAGTTGTTTCAAGTGCTTAGATGAATATTCGAAGTGAAGCAAAACAGAACAAAGTACACCTTGGAGAATTACTAGTAATGAAATTTAGAGTTTGATCTTCAGTTATCATAGTTATTTTTTTTCATTCACTTTGAATCAATACTACCAAACATTTCTTCTTGTATTCACTATTCAAATATATCAAGAGTAAATGAAGAAGTATATATTTAAGTAATGAATAAATAATAAGCATACGAAAATATTTACTTTTTATTTGGAATTGCCATTTTTGAGGTTACTCGACATTTGCTATTACAATTCCTGCATATTACGTATTAATATTTATTGTTCTCCATTATTTTTTCCCGACCTTTTAAGAAAAGGCTTTGCTGTATTGCAGAGAGTGCTAAAGGCAGTTAGTAAGGTGTGTTGTGAATCTTTTGAGGTTATTATGAATATGGTTGTGGATAGAAATCTAAGGTCTTGCAAACTGCTGACACGTGTTATCTTATCAGATAATAACCATCTGCTTCATTTATATCTTTCTCGTTGTATATTTTTTGGTAGAACGAGACGACAATACATTGAAATTCATGCACGCAAGCAAAGGTATAAAAGTTCTATAATACCTTATTTAGCAAATATGCTCTGTGAAGAATAGGTTGTTAGAGTTGACTTAGTCAACAACCTGTGTTCTTAAACACGCTTCTAATTGAAAAGTTATACAGATTCATATCTTTTTTCACCTTTTTCTTTACTCTTTTTGTTGTTTTTGTAGAAGAAACTTGCTGAAATACCTCGTGCTGAGAATTCTATATTGTACCAAAAATATAATATTGAATAAAACCATTAATAGTAATAATATCCTTTTTATGTTTTACATTTACAACAGAATCTTGCTAATGAGTGGAAATGGTTCGAGTGATAAATGTACTCATGGAGTTTTATAATGCTAAATATTAAAAATAAGGCACTGATACGCAAATGTATTGTCATTTATTAGGTGATCTTTTTTCATCAAAATCTATTATATTGACTTTCAAACTAAATAAGCGGTTGATTGTTGATGCGTCTATTGCAGCAGAAGTTTCGTAAGACGTTAATTTTGAATGGTTTCCCTTTCGAAACGTTAATCGATCAGTAGAATTGTAATGAAAAAATAATCAGTAGTAAATTATTTAAAACAAGGATGAATAAATTCCCGTAAATCAAATATATTGACATTGGTGAGGAAGCTAAGATTAGCAGTGAATTACTTTTCATAATGTAACTGTCATTTTAGTTACCTAATCTTGAGATAACCTAGTCGGAATCTATCGATGTTTCTAAATTTAATCTATTCATGATTTTTCACGACTATCATTTATTGCTGTTAGTTGGACAAAAGAGAAGCTGCAATAAATTAGTGTTGTAAACTGTGGAATTTTAATGTCTACCTAGTTAAAATAAATTCATGGTATAACTGCTTATTTTCGAAAGGAAATGAAAACAGCATAAAATTAATTCACTTGGCATTGTTATTCTTGTATCTTCTCATTGTTGTTTAGGACTGCAACTGATAAATCTCTTGTTGGTATATGGGCATTTTGTGCGTATTGCCTCGATATTGCCTTAATTCACAAACATTATGCGCCCAAATGCCCTAGTACGGCAGAGAGTGGGGAGAGTCAGCTCCCTCTCTCGAAATGCTCTCACATGACCACGTGCATACAACCACTGCCAAAGAAGTCCTACTCACTGCCTTCTTGTAGCGGGGGTGTTGTTTACGAAATTGAGAAGACAACAACCGAATGTTCGGCGCTTTAACCGGGTTGATGGAAACGGAGGATCCATTTAGAGGAGTTGGCAAACCCTGATTCCAAACCAATGGTGTACATGGGATCTGAGATTCCAAGGAAACAAATGGTGTATGAACTTATTGTTGGACACCGGATACTATGTAACTGCAGTCAGTCAGTCAGTTAACAATGTAGAACTTCGTACGTACGTACATCAGTTCGAGTTGCCATACCACATTAGCACAGAGATGCAGTTGTCCATTCAAATCCCATAGTGGTAGAGGTATTAAGAGTATAAACACTAATCGGAAAGACTAGGGTTTGAAGATGTTATTCAAGGTGTATAATCCAGTGAAATAAATATGGAATGATAAAAAAAGAAAGGAAAATGAAAAATTGAAAAGATTAGAACTTGAGAGAACACAAAGAGTGGATGCATCTGTTCCATTTCAAACGATTTGGAGCCATGCAATTCAAGGTCCCTAACTATCGGTTGCTATCGTCTCGCGGATCCCAACGAGGTAGTTTATACCTACCAACATGGCTCATTTCACTTGTCGGTGACTCCATAGAACTGCATCGCCATGTGTTGCTCTACTGTCATGTGGATTAGACCTTTGGGTCAAAGGCTCGTAGTGTGGTCCCCTAATAAACCACCTGCTTCGGTTTTGACACCCGGGCAGTATCCCAGCCATCACATAAATCGAGTGATTTATAAGGTGTATATCTGTTTGGTGCCTCTTTGTACGAATGTTTATGTGTTTAGATAAATAAATAAACGTAAGAATTCTATGCAAAGATGGATAGTTGTTAGCCGTGGCATACAGGACCCCATTCCACAAGCAAATGTCTATCTGGACTCAGTAGCTAAGTAGATAACGTGATGGAGTTTGAAGCGACCGATAAGGGGTTCGAGTTACGGGGTGAACATGAAGTCTGAAATGCAGGTATATTCAGCTGACGAATCACATACTGCGTCATATACTGAAAATCAGTATTTTTAGAAATTTTATACACTATTTTAATTGTTATCGAATTTTTGAGTCGATTAAAACTAGATCACTATAGGAAACTTGGAAACATTGGACGACCGTTTCGTCGTAGTATAGGACCCCTCAGCAGTTTACATTCTCGATCCAGTACCGCTGAGGAGTCCCATAATAAAACGAAACGACCATCTAGTGCTCCCAAGTTTTCCATGGTTATCTAGCTTTAATCTCTACAAAATCTCATTTTGATATTATCAAATTAATAATAATATTGAATTTTGAATATAACATTTCAAAACTAAATATAAATATATTAAAGTGAAGTGCCTTTTCATCCAAGATCGTAAAAATTATTTATTCATTATCTTTAAAAAAACTACGTTGTAACATAATGAGCTATTTTATATATGACCATATATTATTTTGGTTTAATTCATACTTTAATTATTTAAAGTTGATGATATGCCTTGAAAATGATTTCTTGAGAATAAGTTATTGTTTTCAGCAGAGGTGAATATGGCATATATACCAAAAAGAGACTGATCCTAAACATCGATAGGAAGAACTAAACAACCATTATATATAAATGAAAATTAAAAAAAATTATTGTTTATCATTATTGTTATTAAGTCAAATAAGAACGAAGAATATTGTTTTCATTCTTTAATTTTCATAGCACAATTAAGCATAAATTTTTTTTGAAGAGTGAGTTGGAGAATGTTAGCCAGCGGCTTATACTTCATTGGAAGTAACAGGTATTAGTAAGTAAAGTAAATTATTAAAATCTTAAACTGATTTCACAAAGTACACTGCTTAATATTATGAAATTATAATAAAAACTAGTTTATAATTCTTTTGTTTCCAATTAAGTTTTTTAATCAATCATAGTCCGCGATAAAATCCCAAAAAAAAATTGAAAAATACAAAAATAAAAAAACTCTCATATCTGCAATGTTAAATAGTAATTTATTGAATTATTATAAACAGTTAAATATCTTTGATTTATACAAAAAAAAAAATAAATTGCTAACCATATGAGTACTTTGTAACTATCATTAAATAAATACAAAAAAATAAATAAATAAATTACATAACTATTCATGTTTAAATAAATTCAGTACAACAGAATATTTAAATAAATGGATTGTTATTTATCAACTTGCATGACCTTTAATCAAATAGTTAAAAAAAACAGAAAAAAAAACAAAATAAAGGATTTTATCAAATTTCTAATGTAAATGCCTATAATTTTAATTTGCTGTTGTTGATTTTTTTTTGTAATTATATAATCACTTAAAACAAAAGTTTTGAAAATACATATTATTTAGAACAAACTGAATAATCATTGTCCTTTGAAGAAATCATGTCATTCATATACTTATATGCATATAAATATACATGTCTATATATATATATATATATATATATATATATATATATATATATATATATATATATATTAACATAATAGTAATGCTTACTATGTTTAACGAAACCATAACATGGAGGGAATCACCTTTGTTATTTTAAACAAAGAAATGAAAATATACAACCGATCATTTAATTTCAATTTTATTATTAGTACTGTGTATAATAATAAAAGAAGTTGAAATTTCATTACTATTTAAGAAATTCTATGTAAGTTTATTTATAATATACATATTATACTATACTTTAATTTAATTATAATCTATGTTTAAGTACTAATTAGAATTAAGTAATTGAATTATGAAAACTTGATCAACTTGCAATTCATTTCAAGTCACATAAACTGATCTATTGATAAAGGGTACATGTTGAAAAATCGTATTTAGCTACAACCATTAATAATGTATAGATCTTTATAAATAATAAATTGTTTTAATCAACTTAATATCAACAAATTGTTCATAAGGGTTCATAAGTTTGCAAAATGCAAAATAATTAGTTTTTATTTACTAAAAGTATTTCGAAAAATCATGAAATTAAACACATTTCTATATAACTCAATATATAGATGAAATATTTGAATGAGCTGAATTTCCATAATTTTTTATTAAGAAATGGCAAATAATCAGATAGCCGATTTGTGGATATTATAGTAATTTAATAGTTGAATTTATGAGTCAACTGAAGTTAGACCATCATGA